CTGTTTTCAGCCTCCCAAGCACTGGGATTAAGGGGTGCACCACCACGACCAGTCTCCTTCACCATCTCAGCACACCCCAGGGGCGGGGCTGACACTGCACCCCAGGGATGGAACCCCAGTCCCTGCATCTGCCTAAGCAGGTGCCTTAGTCTGCTGAGCTATCTGGCTGCCCCTTTAAACAAATCTTGCACATTTATATCTAATAACCTGAGCAATTGATTTGAAGATAACATCTATAATACAGCAACTATTGCTGAATTCCTATTATTTGTTTAGTGAAATTTTGTATTATTTCTAATGCTGGGTTTTTTTTTTCTTTCACTGTTTTTTATTCTTTAAACAATACAAAAAAGGAAATGTGTGACCAGGCCACACAACAGCAGTCTGCTTCGGAAGAATGCACCTGTCAGAAGCAAATGCCAGATGGATCTCTTGTGTTGCCTATTGCAGTGGGAAGTATTGTTTAGAATGACAGCACCAGCCAAGGGCAAGGGAATTAAGAACTGGGCCAAGTCTTCCATCCTTGGCTTTAGAGAAATTTCTATTAAAATGTATTTAACTAAGGTCAGCTGGGATAGTGAGTTTTATGGCACCAGGTAGATTAAGATTTTACATGGATTAGGGCCAGCCAGATAACTCAGCAGACTAAAGCGCCTGCTTAGGCAGACCAAGGGCAAGGGAATTAAGAACTGGGCCAAGTCTTCCATCCTTGGCTTTAGAGAAATTTCTATTAAAATGTATATAACTAAGGTCAGCTGGGATAGTGAGTTTTATGGCACCAGGTAGATTAAGATTTTACATGGATTAGGGCCAGCCAGATAACTCAGCAGACTAAAGCGCCTGCTTAGGAAGACTCGAGGACTGGGGTCCAATTCCCAGCATGCCCTACCAGCCCTGTCCCCAGGGTGCACTGAGACAGTGACTGAGACTGGGTGTGGTGGTGAGCACCTGCAATCCCAGTGCTTGAGAGGCTGAAAACAGGAGAATCACTGCACAGAGTCCAATCTACATAGTGAGAGCCTGTAGACCCTGCACTAAATACATTTTTTTTTAAAAAGAAAGATTGTATATGGGTTGTGTTTCCATAAGAAAACAGAAGGCATGTGCAGTGCTCAAAGGTATACTTGAAGAGATTTATTGAAGGTACAACTTAGCCACAGAAAAAGCATTAAAGTGACCACCTCAGAGCATGAAACTCCCAGTGACAAGCAGGAAGCCATCCACAATGCTGAGCACAGAAGCCTAAGTGGTCCCTGGATCCCTGGCCCATAGCTGTCAATGGGCTCCTGCTATCGGCTTCTGTTTTCTGAAAGAACTGTGGAGATGCTGTGGAAGTTTCATAAGAGCAGATATGTTGTCAAATTGTCACCTTAGAGTGAAAATTTTAGCTAGTTAAATATGTAGTTGCCAGGCAACGGTGAGCCCATTGAGCTGCTGAAAGTGAATTTATACATCCGTCCACTTATGCATCATTTTCAAATGGATGCTCAGATGGCCAGCAGTGAGCTTAGAGCAAGCACTCGGGCTCACCCCGTGTTGCTATGGGGTGCTCATGCTTATGTATGGTGTTGCATGAGGGTAGGAGGACACCCTTGGTAGAATCTCTCACTCTCTCCACTGCAGGCTTTGAAGATGTAGCTGCCATGAGTGTGGCAAGCACAAGGCAATGGATTCTCCCAACAGCACAATAAAGCCTGGAAGAAAATCTTTCCTGCACAATTCCTGATGGAAACCCAGACCGTGTTGATGTCTTAATGGCAGTTTTGCAAGGTCCCTAATGAGAGGACCAGCTAAGCCATACCTGGATTCCTGGTCCTCAGAAATTGGGAATGGAAAAAAAATCACAGTTTTTTTGACAGTCTGTTTTTTATTGTTATCCTGCATTTGGTTGGGTGCAGGTATGCCCTTGCTCCAGATATGCTCTGGCTCCCACTGGCCTCTAGCAGAAACACACACGGCTCCAGATGGCTCTTAGCTGCTGCCCTGGGCCTCAAAGAGGCCCAAAGAGCACAGTGGTTCACCTTCCAACATGAGGTACAAACCCTAAGTCAGTCACACTTCACCAGGAAGAAGTGGTCGAGATGAAGGAGCTTTAATTGAGGAGCAAGCCAAAGCCAGACTTGGTCTCCTGCTTCCCGATACTTTACACAGTGCTGGAGAATCAACCAGTGCTGGGGCCCACTGAGTTAGTGTTGATGGGGTAGGGCATGGTCTGGTCACTGGTAGAACTTCTTGCTGGTGCTGATAGCATGGTCCAGGAGCAGTTGGCATGGGGTGAACTGTTTTCCATAGACAGCCTCATACTTCTGGAGCCGGTCCACTACATCTGGGCACTGTACAAATCCACAAAGTGGAAGGGGCCTGAATGGAAAAACCAGCACCAGCCAAGGGCAAGGGAATTAAGAACTGGGCCAAGTCTTCAATCCTGGGCTTTAGAGAAATTTCTGTTAAAATGTATATAACTAAGGTCAGCTGGGATAGTGAGTTTTATGGCACCAGGTAGATTAAGATTTTACATGGATTAGGGCCAGCCAGATAACTCAGCAGACTAAAGCGCCTGCTTAGGCAGACTCAAGGACCGGGGTCCAATTCCCAGCATGCCCTACCAGCCCTGTCCCCGGGGTGCACTGAGACAGTGACTGAGACTGGGTGTGGTGGTGAGCACCTGTAATCCCAGTGCTTGAGAGGCTGAAAACAGGAGAATCACTGCAAAGAGTCCAGTCTACATAGTGAGAGCCTGTAGACCCTGCACTAAATACATTTGTTAAAGGAGACAGGAAGAGCACTAGGCCAGAGCACCAATAGCTCAACCTGTAGACCCACCTCCAAGACATGGAGGGAAGTCGATCCCAAAGACTGCTCTGATATCTCCTTCCGCAGGTGTGGCCAAGATGCCTTCCTGCAGGCACATAACCGCCTCATTGACAAATCTTGTCACCACATGGTACTGGAGGTCTCCGACCTCAGGCTTAGCAGGCAGCTTCAAACCTGCAAAACTACTATCCATGTCAGAGTTCAAATTCTTATTCTTGGAGTGCCCCCTCACCATAGATGTAAAAGCCCTTCCCAGACTTGTGACCCAGGAAGCCCTTGACCACCATCTGTTTCAGCAGTTCAGCATTTCCACCTCCAAACTGCTCCCCAAAAGCCTTGCCTAGATCTTCTGCCACGTGCTGCACCACATCCACTCCAACTTCATCTGCCAGGGCAGCAGTATCCACAGGAAAACCAAAGCCTGTGATCAGGGAACCCAGCCTCTTAGGGTCAACTTCTTCCTGCAGGATCCATATGACTTCAGACGTCATGGGTGCAAGACATCTGGTGGTGTAGAAGCCCGGTCCATCCTTAACCACAATGAGGACCTTGCCCTGCTTGAGACCAACTGTTACAATGGAGGCGGTTGTGTCCTGGCTTGTTTTCTCAGTTGTGACAATCTCTAGCAGCTGCTTCTTGTCCACAGGAGAGTAGAGCAGGCCAATCATCTTCTCAGGTCTTTTGCTGACTGCAGCAATTTCCTTGACTGGGAGAACAGTAATGTTACTGGCAAAGATACAGTGATCTAGAATCACCGCTTCCACTTCCTTGAGCACTTTATGATTAATACTAAGGTCCTCAAACAGTTTCAATCACCATGTCAGACTTTTCAAAATCCTGGTAATCAAGCTGCCCAGTCAAGTTGCTAAACAAAGAGTCCCTTCCAAATGATGTTATAATTTTCTTCTTCACTTTGTCATTCAATCCTTTGAACACCTGCTGTTGTCCTCAGCACAGCCCAGCTACTGAAACAATAAGCAGGGTCTTCAGTCCCTTATCCATGGAGACCCGTGCGACACCAGCTCCCACCAGGCCTGTGCTAAGAATGGTCAGTTGTTTAATTTCCTTCCTTCTACTGAGCTCCAAATTTATTTTTCTTGCATAGGACTTGGCCGTAATACAGTCTCATGAAGGCCTTTGACTCTTTGGTCATTGCAAACTCTCCAAATTTCTGTGACTCAGCCAGAAAACCAGCTTCACTTCCTTGTTCAATTCCAGTCTTTACTGCATCAATTATTTTCAGAGGTGTAGGATAAAAGCCTTTGATTGGCTTTCACACTTTTTCTTCCACTTTTTTGTAAACCTGTTGCTTGAAAGAAAAAAAAAAAAAAAGGTTGACTAATGGCCTATGATGTCAGTTTTTCTACCAATCCCTTGTTTCTCACTGGTGTGATCTTATCAGCTAGTCCTTTGGCAAATGTAACTGCAACTTCCTCCAGGTATCCAATTGTCCTTTCCTCTGGAGGTTTGACTCCTGGTCCCAGGGGTTCCACCAGTTGGTCAACCAGTCCTATTTTCTTCACTCTTTCTCCATGAGTGTTTCTACCAGTCAGCATTACATAAAAAGCAGAAGGTTTACCCAGCATTCTGGGCAGATTTAGGGTGTCTCCTGATCCAGGTAAGATCCCCAGCAAGACTTCAAGGACACCTAATACTGTTCTTTTATCCTTTGTTGCTGTTCTGTATTGGTATGAAGTGGCAAGCTCAAGTCTTCCTCCCAAGCAGGCTTCAATGATAGCAGCTACACTAGGCTTTGTGGCCTTTTCAAGTTTTGCAAACATTCTTTGTGCTTCCTGTTATATTCTGGTTACTTCTTGAGAGGTTTCAACATGCTGCTAACATGTTGATATCAGCTTCTGCAACAAAGCAGACAGGCTTTGATGAGATAAGGACTGTACTTCAGATCTGATCATTAGATCCAAATTTCTTTTATTATTTCCATGAACTCTGATTGTATTTCTTTTTTTCTTTTTTTTTTTTCCTGTATTTTAGGGAAGGATCTACAGGGTGTTCAGAGTCTCACTACTAGATCAGACTCATAGTGATCTGCCTGTTTACAGCCTCCCAAGAGCTGGGATTAGAGGCGCGCTCCACCACACCCAGGTTCAATTGCTGTCTCAGCAAGCTCTGGGGGCGGGGTTGGCATAGCAGACCTGGGGATCAAACCCCTGGCCCCTGTGCCTGCTTGCAGGCACTTTAATCCATTGAGCTATTTGGCCAGCCCTGATTCCATAGTTGAGATGGGTTCTGGTCAGCAAAGCAGAAGACCCTGTAAAGTTGTGGCACATATAACCTCAAGAGCGGAGGATCCTGAAGGTGTTGAAGTGGCTGAGGCTGCCAAGTGTCTGAGATGCCACCATCTTAAGCAGGAGAGGACAAAAAGTGTAAAGAAAGCATGTCTTGAAAAAACCACATGTATTTTAGTCCACTAAGTTTGTGGCAATTGACTGTGTCGTAGGAGTTAAATAATACAATTGCTAACAACTGTAAGCATGTGTGATTGCAAGATAAAATAGACAGTACAGAAATGGGGGAGAGGGGACAGGCAAAAAGAATAGAAGGGAAAAATGGAAACAAAGCTTTTGTAAATAAGCAGGGAAGGAAGGAGGAGGCAATGGGAAAGAAAGAAAAAACAAGATATGTCACTATAGCTAAAAAATTCCCCACGATGAACATGATCATTACATATCTAAAGTCTACTAAAACAGTTAGAGTGCAAAAAAAAAAAAAAATTATCTCAATTTACCAAAAAATAAATGGATAAAAGATGCAATAAGTAATAAATTCTTGTATAATATATCAAATTAGATTTCAAAACACATGATTGTCTTTATCGTCTTGGGTTGCTGTAACAGAATGCTATAGCCCGATGGCTGCTGAACAACAGAGGATGTTACTGCCGTTTCTGCAGGCTGGAGAGCCAGGATAAGAGCATCCACAAGTGCTGTGGAGGTAGTGCTTCCTCTTGGGTGGCTCATGCCTCACCTACAACCTGCCAGGCAAAAGGAGCAGCCAAGCTCTAACGGATCTGCTACCCAGGGGTCTAATACCATCTAGGAGGGTTTCACTCTCATACCTCAAGCATCTCCCAAGAGTCCCACTTCCTGGTATGATCATATTGTGTCTGGGCTCTCAACGCCAAGTGGGAGTGACATCAACATTCAGTCCACCGCGGTGATCAGTGCACACACAGTCTCGAGTCCATCACATTCTACGTCTTAGCGTGATGAGAAATCGGATTTTTTAAAAAATAGTTTTAAAACATGACTAAAAAACATTAAATATTTCACTGTATAAATCTTATACTTCACAAACAAAGAAAGGCAAATGGCAATACATATATGAAAAAATGTTCAATGTTATTGGTCATTCAAGAGATGCAAATTAAAACAATGCTGAGATTCCATCTTATGCCAAAAGAAATGTCTATCATCAAAAAGTCAACCAATAACACATGCTGGAGAAGACTGTGGGGAAAAGGTGCTCTACTCTGCTGTCAGTGGGAAGGGAAGCTGGTACAACCACTATGGAAATCAGTGTGGAGATTCCTCAAAAAGTTAGGATTGGAGGTTCCAGTCAAGCCAGCTCTCCCTTAAGGGGTATTTTTCCAAAAGAACTAAAACATCATATCACAATGATATGCATACACCCATGTTTAGGGCAGCTAAATTTGTCATAGCTAAATCTTGGTAACAACTGAAATGCCCATCAGCTGAGGAATGCATAAAAAAGATGTGGTACTTTTACACAGTGGAATATTAGTCGCCTATAAAAAAGATAAATTCAAGTATTTTATAGATACGTGGCTTCAACTAGAGACTATACTGGTAAGTAAAATAAATCAGATCCGCATGTAAAAATGTCATATTGTCTCACTAGTGTGAGAGCCTGAAAAAGTAACTAAAATCTGAGAGGCACAATACATACTGTGAAAGGGAAAGAATCTGTTCAATGGGAAGGAAAACTGGGAAGAAGAAAAGGATAAAAGAAGAGAAAAAGATACCTTTATGTAATGTGCAGGATAGTATGGATAATTGTATTGCAGATTTCTGCTCGTCTATTGAAAGGAGCAGTTAACGCTTAAATTTTTTATGTTTTATTTTATTTTTTCTTTTTTAATTTTCATAACTTTCTATACCAATTTTGCAGGTTTATTTCTGATTACCTAAACAACTAATTTGAAGGCAACATTGTGCAATACAATAACCATTGTTGAATTCCCTTAATTTAATGACATTTGTATTGTTTTTAATGGGTTTTTTTTAAACCATTTTGTGTTCTTTAAAAAATAAAAATGAAAAAATTAAACACCTAAGGCCATATCTGATGAAAGATGTCAAATGCCTCTTTAGATTCATGTAATCTTTCTGTGGGTACAATAATACCCATCAAGTGATATCTGATGGGTCTCCTCAAGCTTTTTAAGATTGTTTCGCATGTGTCTGAACTTGTTGATAAAATATTCATTTTACATAATGGTCAGAAACAACCAATCTTATCTTTTTACTGAGTTTTAACTATTTCAAACTGTTATGGTAGTTCTTAAGCTACAGACTTTGAGATCGTATGACTTTTTTTTTTTCTTTGTGGTATCAGGGATTGAACTCAGGACCTTTCACTTGCTAGGCAAGCATTTATTCTATTGAGCTATCTCCCCGACCCGAGATGACCTCATTTTGAAGTCTAACTTAGACAGCTAATGGCTGTCTATCCTAAGACAGATATTATAATATTTTATACCTGAATTTGTTCTTTTACAAAACTGGTGTAGTCCTACCAAGTGACTAGGGAGTCAGACCTTTGTTTTTCTTGCTAAGTGACTTGGGCCACTTTAAATAATATTTCTGGTCTTCAGTATATATGTATAAATTAGTATGTACCTCATAATGTGGCTATAAAGATAAAATGAGATAAAATATTTAATATGATTTAATATAGTACCCGGCTGTAATTCTTTTTTCTAATTATATGAAATTGGACCATGACAAATGCAATTGAGTACCTCCTGTCAAATTTCTTTTATTCTCTAGAGATAGCCATTTAATCAAATGGATAGCTTTGTGTTTTACTTGATGTAATTTTTATATGACTGTTTAATAAGACTTTGAAATAAGAGATTCTGGAGGCCATTAGTATTTTAAACTTTATTTACCAGCAAGCCCTATTTCCAGATAAAATCTTACTCAGAAGATCAGCGTGTGAAAATATACCAACTATAAAACACAAATAAAAGAAGTTTTTTACTTGGGCTATAAATCCACAAATAAAACATTTATTGAGCATTTATCATGGTCTACTTATAATTCTAAAATGGTACTAAACATTAAAGTGGCTCTGGGGTTTTCTTCTTGGACCAATAAATTGCAAAGAACACAGTTGAAATTAGGGTCTGTGGAATTGCTTAGGCACTCATGGACAGCAGCCTTGGGATGTTTGTCTCAACTGAGGACCTAGCACTGGGCACTCAGCAGATGCTGATGATGAATGAACAGCACCACGTGTGCCCCATGCATCTCCTTTTCCTCGGAAGCCCCAACAATGATGTTGAAAATAAAGATAAGCAAGAAATCTCAGCCCAGCCTAAGGCCTGGGGATATTTAGAAGCACAGAGTGGGACATCTACTGAATCAATATGACATTTAAATTGCACCAATATGCAGAGGCTGTGGGGAGAAAGGGATCCTTCTCCACTGTTAGTGGGAGTGCATGCTGGTACAACCACTAGGGAAATCGGTGTGGAGATTCCTTAAAAGGCTAGGATTACAGGTCCCATTCAAGCCAGCTCTTCCCCTAATGTGTATTTTTCCAGAAGAACTAAAACATCGTATCACAGTGCTATATGTGCTCCCATGTTTATAGTAGTGCAATTTGTCACAGCTAAATCTTGGTAACAACCTAAATGCCCATCAGTGGAGGAATGCATAAAAAAGATGTGGTACTTTTACACAGCGGAATATTATTCACCTATAAAAAAGATAAGTTTGAGTCTTTTGTAGTTAAATAGATACAACTAGAGACTGTTGCTTTTGTGTGTGTGTGTGT